TATAATAAATTAAAAGTTAATTTAAAAATTGTGAATAAAAGATTATTTTATAATTAAATTAATTTAATAAAAAAAATATAATTTTATCACTTATTGCGCAGCAAATAATAGATTTAAATGGGTATTGGAGCTGTATGTATAATATAATTGGCACCAGACAAAATTTATCTGCCAAACACATCTGAATAAATAAATACATTTTTATATGACGATTTATTCTTACGTCATTGTATAAAGGTGCTAAAGTATTTCCTGGTATAGAATTTTTTGCGCTGATTTTTTTCGTGGATAACTGCCAACCTTTAGCAACAGTATTATTGGTCATATATAAATACGCTGTTCCATTTCTAATCATAGGATTGCTGCTTTCTGATACCTTCGGCAATTTGTAAAGCACATACCTGAAATCATACATTGCGGTAATTGTTATAAAAGTTATCGATAGCGGAAAGCGCAAATACAATATGATTGCAAGATAAACATGACATTATAATAATTATAATTATTAATATAAGACTAATACAAGGTTGACAAAAGATAACGTTCTTTTTTAAGAAATTGTTTTTAAATATGTTTTTAATGTTTCATGCTTTAAATAGTATTATAAAAAAAAATATGTTTAAAACATTAAAACATGTTAAAATCAATTAAGCCTCTTATAAAATATTTAAAACATGTCTAAAATATGATTTTTATCAACTCTAAATATAGAAGCATTTCAAAATATAATTATTCTTGTTTAATATTCATTATAAATTTAAAAAAATAATAATTGTTTACACGTTATTATTAAAATATATTTCGTTCTATACTCAGTTTTTTTTTATAAATTTAAAAATAAAATTGATTTGAATTTAGTTATTTAATAATTATAACAATTAAAAAATTGTATGTAAATTTTATACATATTAAATATTATTATTTATTTATTATTTTTCACATACTATGTACTCATATTGTTTTATTTATCCTTAAATTTAAGGAAAGGATTTAAAGTAAAAACCCGCTAAAATACAGTTGAATTCAAAAAATAGTTTTTTATGCTTAAGAAATTAAAACTCTAATTTCAGACACCCTTTTTTACTCTTTCTTCAAAAATTAATATTAGAACATACAAATTTTGAAGTCACCGTATTAATTAATCATTTGTCAATGTGATAAATTTCAAAGAAAGAAGAAAAAACTTATAAATATTACAATATGTTCTAGGACCAATTGACTTTTTATACATAAATATAAATACAATTCAATATTTTATAAGATCAATTGACTTTTTTTGTACATAGATATAAATACAATTCGAATTATACACTTTTACCATCTCGACAATGCAACAGATAGCAACGTTGTATCCGAGTTTTAATCCGAAATACATTTATACTGCCTACACTTCAAATAAAAGTCAATTGATTCTGAAATATTGTATAATACTTAACTTTTTTCCTCTTTTCCCTAAGATTTATTATCTTATGATTAATCAAGAACATCAAAATTTTTATTTTTATTATTAATTTTTGAAAAAATTAAGAAAGTTTTTGTCTGTAGCTAGAATTTAAATTTTTAATATTAGGTGTAGTAAAAAGAAATCCATTATTTTTCCATTCAATTTCATGCAAAAATAATGGATTTCTTTTTACTACACCTAATATAAGCACAAGGGATTATCTTTTGCAACAAATGAAATATGATGCAAAATCTTTTGCATCATATTTCAAAAAACGCGCCTCCACTTTTAGTCCTACTCTTGTAAAATATTTTTTTATAAATTGTAACTTAAAATAATCGACTTTATTTTTTAAAAATTATTATAATTTGTGACCAGCAGTTTGAAAACATAAGAATACGTATATATTGAAGGCACTCACCAATCGACAACTTGATTATTTTCATCTTTACACCGAGGATTTGCCGCATTGCATGTAAATAACAAAATACTTATATATAATAATAAGAACATCATCAAATTACGATATCCAAACTCAAAAAAAATTCGTAGCGATCGCGAGTACACCGATTCGTGATCTGTGCTCTCCAAACCAGCAGACATTAATAAGTTATGAAAATGGTGTTAATTAAAATATATCGACAAACACACACTTCTGCTATATGTACATATGCCGCTACACTTGCGGATCGATTAAATCGTAGCAACAAATTACAAAACAAAAGCTGAATAGTTCGGTTTGCATTACTTTCGACTCGTTGCAATGAATGTCATGTATTTCTATCGAAATTCTATCTGAAACACATGCAAATTTACACATAAACACAGCTGCAACAATTAACATTAATTTGTCATGAAAATAATTGTTTCTTTTGCAATCATTATCATTAATATTCCACAATTATTTACATAGTGATAAAAATACAGTTGTGTAAAATGTACATAAAAATATATATGTAAAATGATAAAAGCTACTATTTTTGTCGTCAAAGCAATTTCGCAAAAGAAATTGCAAAGAAGTATAACATCCAATCAAATTTGGATGAAATTTCCATTTCTTTGTGAAAAACTTGTACTTGTATTAAATGCATTCGTTACACAATATATAAATAACGAAAAATAATGGTCTATCTTTTGAGGCTAATAATAGGGCTTTTGAGGCTTTTAATTAATTAGAATAATATTTGCAAAACCCATAAAATAAGTATTTATATTTTCAAAT